ATTTGATATATGTTTAAAGGACGCAGTATTCCCGGAACATTTTCAAAAGTTCAGTTGAAAAAGATCTATGTTATTTACAATATTTCAAGTTTTGAACGCCCCCTATATAAGGGGAATTTGTCCAATTTTAATAAAAAGTATGTCAAATAAAAGATATACTTATAATATATTTAGAAAAAAAAATATTGTGCTGATACATACATTTTACGAAAAGTTATAGCATTTTTAAGTTGAAAATTTAAAATCGAAAATTTTAACACAAAAATAGCGTTTTTTTAACTACGGCAGCCGTTTACATGCAGAAGATAAAGTAACGGGACAAAATTTTTCATTTGATAGTTATAACATAACCTTTGATTTGATATATGTTTAAAGAACGCAGTATTTCCGGAACATTTTCAAAAATGAAGTTGAAAAAGTTAGTTTTTGTAAAAAAGTTGCTATTTTATATCCCCCCCCCCCCATGAGCAGGTTAAGTGTTAGATTTTCAACAAAATGATATCAAACGAAAGGTAAATATCTAAGGTTTTAGTAGAAAAAAAAATTATATTGATTTGTTTATTTTTCAAAAAGTTATGGAAGTTTTAAGAAAAAAAAGTGAAAAAAATGACAAAATTTACCGATTTTTAAATTTGTAATTTTTTTTGATATTTCCCCCATTTTCGGGGAACGAGGGAATTTTTTTCAATTTTTAAGGGTAATGTCTCCAACTAGATACGATTTGTGATCTTTTGACGTACTTTTGAAAGAAATCAGTTCAGTGAGAGCTGAGAAAAAGTGGTAACAGACATAAAAAAAAAAACACATCGTAGTAAAATTAATACCTTCTCAGCTTCGCATCGAAGCTAAAATTGATATGTAATAATGTACTTAATACTAAATATTTTAATAATAAAATGTTAATTATTTTACAATTTGTAAAAAAACAGTATTCTAATTTTTAAAAATAAATTTATTATATTTATTATTATTATAACTATGTTTTAAAATCCCATTATTTTTATGAGGGTAGTAAAAAATTGTTATTTATTTTTTTTTTATAGTCACTCTATTGTAGACCTGTGTAATTATTTATAATTAACGAAATATTATTTTCTTAAAAGTTTCCCATAAAGTTCTTTAATTTTTATACAAATTTGTCATAGAAATAACGAAATATACTAATTAATAAAAATTGATCACTTGTGGCTAATTAATTAAATTAAAATTAAAACTATATTAAAAATATTATTAATTTAGAAACTAAAAATAATTCAAATATTAAACTCAAAAGCCACAAAATTTACTGAAAAATCGCGGTTACGTATTTCGGAAACAATATTTCCATTATCAACGCTACACATACTGACACTCCAACTAGAAAAAACCCCCTATATACCCCTGGTGACCTTATTAGCTAGTGATGACATCACTAAAAAATATTATCATATTTTTAAAGTTTACACAAGTTTAATAATGAATTTTTTAGTGGGCCAAGATTTAATGGAGTAATTATGTGTCAATAAATGATCAATGTTTCTTATGTACTCTTTAAATCTGGCCCTATATTTCTTTTTGTTTAACATTCACATTTCATTTTATAAATGCCTGATTTTCCCCCTTCATCTGCCTTATCTTTAGGTTACCTAATAAATCGCTTAAATTACTGCTCTCCTTACTTAATTCAACTTTCAAAATATATCAAAACTGAGTGATTCTTGTACTGTATAAACGAAATTATACATTTTATCTTTTGTTACCATAACGTATATTATTATATTATTTATTATCATTTCATCAGTTCATGTGTTTCTGTGAACAAAATTTTTTTTTACTTGAAAATTAATGTTACCTATGATATTTCAAGTCGCAGAAAATACGTTTTTTTCTCGCTTATTACTATTATCAGTTATTATCAATTCACTAAAAATTAAAAATATAAATACAGGATTTCTTAATATAAAAAATCAAAAACATTTCTTCAGTCACTACAAGAAGAAATTGAAGACGATTTATTTTTTAATTTGGAAATCTATCTAAAATGATGAATTTTATAAATTGAAAAATTAACAAAAATTTAATTATCATTAATTTTATTGGAATAAATAATTATTTTGATAGTAAAGACATTAAAATTCAGAATGTTATTTTTATCAAAATAAAAGCAAACTAATATTACTATTTTAGAGTAAATTTTATTATAAAGAATTTACTACACTGTTCATAACAACTTGTAACGTGTCAACAACTTGTGACGTGGTTTATTGTACATTACATAGTAGGCCATCGCTTAATCAACTAGTTAATTTTGCGATTTGAAAAAATTTCTAAATTTTTAATTTAAATAAATTGCATGTTAAAACATTTATACATATTTTAAAAAAATATTTTGTTTTTTTATAATTACGTAATAAATCATTACATAATAACAATGAACTATAACATTTTTATATTTATCTTGGCAGTCAACGCAACGAATAGCCAGAAAAAATATGATGAAGGGTATGTAATTAATTTTTTAAATTCATTTTTACAAGAAAATAATTGGGACTTATTACCAGATTCAGATAATGTGCGTGATGTATACGATCACTATCCATTTAGCGTATTTAAATTATTATTAAATACAGAAGTGAAAGACAATCAAAACCAATATTCGTTTAGAGTATGGCATTTATTATTAAACGATCAAGAATATTCTAAAAAAAACATCGTCACAAAAAAAAATCTTCAACAAAAAATTAGTTATACAATGACACTAATTAATTATGAGTACACAATAAATTTAGCATTTATTGTGAATCACATAAAATATATAGCTTCTTATTGTAATATACTTAAACAGCAGGCTACTATAGTAAATGTTTCAACACTTCACGCGAAGTGTGTGTATTTATTAATTCGAAATGTTAATGAATCCATAAATCTTATACTACGTTATGTTAATGCAATAAATTTCCTAAGGAATTTGTTAAATGTAGAAACCAACACAGGTATTTTAAACGAATTAATACAATTTATTGAATTGGTAAGCAGAAAAAAAAATGAAGATGACTATTCATTAGCGGACAAAATTTATCTTAATTTCAAAAAGGCGTACGAAATGGATAATAATAATTTNCATAATTTCAAAAAAGCGTACGAAATGGATAATAATAATTTGCAAAAAATAGTAAACAATTATTCAGTAGCTAAATACAAGTATTGTGTAAATAAAAGAATGGACGATTTTGATCAATATAAATCAGACAATAAATTACCAGAAACGTTTCAACACTACGAATTCGCAGAAGTTATCTTAAATAAAAGTCTTGAACAGATGAAAAACGCGTATGCTAAACACGGCTTTCTTTAAAAAAAATATACGAATGAAACTTCTTATTTTTACGATGTATAGTTGAAGAAAAAAATAATTATTTTCTAGTTTTTTTAAGCATTAGAAGCTCATCAGCTCATCATCAGTCATTAGCTGACAAATATAATTCATATTTTCTTTTAATATTCTTAAAATTTTCCATTAAGTTACCTAGTAGCGCCAGCGGTCCTGGGGCTGGTACATGCATACCTCTTGACTGCGCCATGTTATGTATTTTATAGTATTTTATTAATAAAAACTAGTTATGTTATAAATGGAGATACTTTATTTAAAATCATAAGTGTGTGTCTCTTATTTATACGTATCATCTTAATGAGGGAGAAAACGATGCTACATGTTACTGAAAAGTGCAGCCACTAATATAAAACAGTAGGTAGAATATAATGCGTATTATGATTCCTGGTCCATAGTTAACTAGATGTTGCTAAGAAATAATGCCGTAAAGTTCTTTGTATGGAACTCTTACATTGCTTGTATTTTTAATTGTCATCATAAGGCTTAAGACTTGACTTTTAAATAAAAGTTTTTTGTCGTTATTAAATAACCGTAACGTCAGCAACAAAAAATCCATAAAACAAGAATCTTCATCTTCTTTCGAACTCTGCTCAAAGTACTGATAAAAACTTTTCTTCAACACAGTATCATTCCAAATTTTTTCCCCATTTTATCCCCTTTATTGACTTTTTTTTCTTTTCCAGGGAACTTTTTCTGCTGCTTGTTCAACTTCATTTGTCTAATCCTTGAACACTGATGCACTGATATCTTGATCAGAAAATAAGTTATCCATGTTTGACTCTTTGCTACAAAAATATTATTTATATTAAGTATCATTACATCAGTTGTTCCAAATAACTTTTTTCCGCGTTTAGAGTGTTAATATGGACGTTTCACGCGGACTTACCTAATGCGAGTGCGACCAATGCTCAAAAATAAAATAATACATTTTTAAGCAATGGTTGCACAAACATCAGTTGAATTTACGTAAAATGGCCCATTATCAATTATACTTAAAAATGTATAAATAAATAAATATAAAAATATTCTCAGGACATTTGGTTCAGCTTGCGATTCTAGAAACTGTAATTGACAATAATACATTTATTCCTTTTGCTTTTTAACTCCACCCCCAGGTATTAGTTTTTTTTTGTTTGCAAATGACCGCATTTTTGCGTCCCTGGAATTTATCCACCTTTGCTGTACTTTATCCTTTGTACCGTGATAATGATAGTTTTAAATAATATATACTTATTATTAAAAAACAAAAAAATCCGCTCGTTGGGATTCCACATAGTTGAGACAAGTATAGATTATATCTGATGACGATTAAAATCGCTATCGTAAAAATCGTTTCGATATATATCTGTAGATAGAGTTTAATTTTTAGATGGAATTATTGAGTTATTCCAAAAGTAATATTAACTCCTAATTCCTTAATAATATCCTGATTACTAGTTTTATGATTTATAAATATAATACATTAATAAATACATGTAATAGAAATTAAATTAGTATGAAATTGATATTCGATATTTTGTATTGTAATTTTTATAATGAAACTAAAAAAACTTATAAAGTAGTTATATCAAGTAGTTATACCTCTAAATAAAATGTGTATTAAAATTGTAATTATTGATTTATCAAAATGAAAAGAAAAGAAAGTTTATTTTTTATTTTAATTCGATTATTCTGAACTTCGTTAGTTAATTATTATTTCAATCATGAAACTAAAAATTGAATTTACCATAATACATTGGTAACTAGAATAATTTGCTTTATAAGGAAAATTATAATTACACAAAGAACGGTGATTTATTTACACCAAAATACATTTTTTTGTTAAACTTTGAGCGCTGATTTCATATAGAAGATAAGGTGTCGGGACATTTTTTTAAAATTTAACCTGTAGTTTGTAGTATAAGCTTTAATTTAACATATGTTTGAAGCTCGGTGTATTTCCATAACGTTTTCAAAAGTTAAGTTGAAAAAATTAACTTTTAATGCAAAATGGCTACTTTTAATTCATTCTTGTGGATAAGTAAAAAATCAGGTTTTCAAAAAAAAAATGTACTTAATAAAAAGGAAATACCTAAAATTTTTATTTAAAAAAATTGTTTTTATTCATCGATTTTTAAAAAAGTTATGATAATTTTAAAAAAAAAGTTTAAAAAATGTCGAATTTTACTAAATTTATAAATCGTAATTTCATGAGCAATTTAATTGTAGTGCAATCACTTTGTATATTTATAATTATTTTATTTTATTTATAATGAATTTAAATTTATTATTAATTACCTCAAAGTAACTACCAACATCTCTTCTGCTGGTATCGCAGATCTCATAACTGAATCTTGACGCATTATATTTGTTTTAATTTTATTAAACAGCTCGTGAAATGTGCTTTGAGACAAGCGAAAATAATTTAAAAATTTCGCATTGTCAGCTCTTAGCAAGTTATACAGATTGTAAAATGCACCATTTAATAATCGTTCACTATTTATTGGATGAATCCACCATTTTCGATTCACCCGTTTTTTTTTTCGTAATACTCGTATAGCGGAGTATACAAAAATCGCGGTATCCAAATCGTCCTTCTTGTAGGATGCTAAATCCATGACAAAATAGATAGGTATTTCAGCAACTTTGTGATACGCAACTTCTTTGTGATACTCCTCACCCCATCTATAGCTGGTTCGCCTCATTTCATTGGCCGAATATTTGTATGATCATTTTCCATAAATATAGTGATATTATTATCATTTATGCGTTAATATTTAATATTGTGCAAAAATAATTTGTAGCGTATAGAGGAATAATGTAAAATTATGTATGTAATATACTTAATATTTAGAAGTGCTTTCATTGCATTAAATGATATATAATTTGCTTCACATTAATGTTATTTTTTTTTTTATAAAGCCAAGAGGTTGGTTTGTCAGCACAGTATCCTAATGCGAACTGGCCTAATGTTATTTGGTAATTTAATTTTACTTATTACATACATTTATTTATTAAGTAAATTTTTGTTTTTTAAATTTAAGTAAAAGTATGTAAGTATATCAAGTTTTCAAAATATTTTAAGACACTTAAAATAAACGCTGTTCATTTTATTTAATATACCCGGCATAATCATTTCATATCAAATAATTTGCAAATTGATCATATTTGTTTATATTGTAGTATAAATAGATATCACAATAGATTGATATCAATCAATAATAGTAAAAGGTAAAGGTATCATAAAAAAAAAATACAAAATATTAAAGTTGCTGTCAAGTATTTGATTTAAAGAATTGTATTTTGGCGGGCAAACCTACGGCCAATGAAATCAGGCGAACCACTACTATGGGTGAGAAGGGCGGGATGCGTCAAACGGTCCAAAACTCGTTTGTTGCTGACATACCTATCTATTTTGTCATGGTATCACGATTGTTCGTGCTTTCGTCCAAAGCCAAGGAAAAAAAAGAAAACTGTTCTGCTTTTGTTTGCAACTGATCTTGTAAATTTTTACCAATGTCTTCTATGCGACGAGTAATGGTGGGCCGAGATAGACTTATTTCTTTGAATGCAGAGCATTTCTCAGGAGCGATTTCTTCAATAGCTGCGATGATGCACTTTTTAATAAACTCGCCACCATTAAGCGCTTGTTGGTCTTTCGCAATAAGATTTGCAATCTTATAACTTGCTGTAACGATATCGTCCTTTCCTTTTACTTGTTGCGAAAACATACTTTTGACAGCGCTTGTCTCGTCCGCGAATTTTTTTTTTAATAACTCCAATTTAGATTCGCAAGCCTTATCTTTAATACTTTCATATTTTGATTTGTGTTTGGTTTCATAATGCCTCTGAATATTAAATTCTTTATAAACAGCCACAGATTCACGACAAATAAGACAAGTTGGTTTCTCGTTGAATTGAATAAAAAAGTATTTATACATCCAAATGTCCTGAAAATGACGATTTTCTTCGGAAATTTTACGTATTTTTTTTTTTTTT